CCTCATACAGGAGGGTTGCATTTGGCAGTTAAGATTTTTCCATGACTTCCCACCAACATCCTTTACTCATTTCCAGAGTAAACATTGCATTATGCAATCCACTGTGCCTGCTGGAGAAGGAAATTGGATATTGTTTTGTGTATTTTCAAGTCAGGTGTTATTTTTTTTCCTCAATTCATCCAGAGCTGATTTCACTTCCCCGAGTGCTGAACGGTTCCTCTGAATGGTACCTTGGCTGCTTCACTGGGAGAAGCAGGAATTCTGATGGTGTTTTTTTCAGGAAACAAGAGTTCTCTTCTGATTAAATCAATTCTAAGCCTCTGTGACTTTCTGAAATATTATTGACATATTTAAAGCAGGAAGCATTCCATGTTCAAATCATTCATCCATTCTCTGGTGTATTCCAGCCAAGGATATGTGTGTGTCATCACATAGGATGAGAGTTTTGGGGTACAATTAGCAGCCTGATTCTGATTGCTAAGTAATTATGGTGATATCCAGGTGGAAACCAATCCTGATGAACTCTAGGAAAGGAAAACAATGTTTTTAGTCAAGGACATCAAGATTTGTGTTACCATGGCAGAACAGATTGGAAAATTCTGTTGAATTTCTCCATCACAAGAGAGCAATTAACACTTCCCTTGGTATTTCCAGCTCCCTAGTGGCTGAGGCCCAGAGCTGCCCAGTTCTGGGATGTGGCAGTTCCCTCTGCAGGTCAGTGTGGAGTCCTTGGAGCAGCAGTGAAAAGAAACCATGAAAACATTACAAAATCATCCTTGGGAGTAGGAGTTGCTGTGATCCTGGCTGGGGGGGATAATTCACGTCCTGGATAGTGAAGTTTATAATCCTATCCAATGTAATTGAGCATGTTCTAGTTATCCATTACCTAATCTTTAGTTAATCCTAATAGGTTTTGGCCTCAATGTTTTCTCATGGCAGTGAGTTCTCCAGATTAATTATGTTATATAAAAAGGCTTTTCCTTTCAATTTTACATTTGCAACTTTTAATTTAATTGAATGTTTGCTGGCTCCTCTGTTACACGAGAAGGAATGAGGAGTCCCTGGCCAATTCCCTGGATTTATACCATTTATACCATTGATGTGTCCTCCTCTGATTTCCCTCAGAAGCCCCAGCATAGAAAGTTTGAAGCCTAGCAAGAAAAAAGCACAAAAACTCCACAGGGTTATTTTTTTTCATAATCAAATGTTGGCTATTCACAAAATCGAGTATTTCTGATGTGTCTCTGCAGCATCCAATAGGAATAACAAAATTGAGCTACAAAGACTCACTGTCCATGGTTATTTATCAAAATAACACCCACATAGAGGAACAACTTTCTGGGGTTGCTGTGAATGTGTCAGAGGAAGAAATCTCAGTTCCTTTTATCCTGTTAGTCCAACATTCCATGCAGAGGGGATGGGTCTGTGCTTGTTGAGGACCCTCAGACTTCCAGAGTTCTGGCACAAGGAGCCATCCTGGGTCTTTCCTCTTTGGGAATTTATGATTCCCATCCTTAGAGCAGCTGGGCTTGGATTCTCAAACACCCTGTAAGCACAAGAGTGATCCAGCCTCATCAGGGCCCTTTGCTTTGGGCTGGAGTCCAGTGACGGATCCCAGGGCAAAGCTCATTCAGAGGAAAACCTGGAGATTTCACAATGAGTTTTGAAAATCAGGTAACTTTGGGGTGGCCTGATCTGGGCAAGTGTCCTCAGCCCACCAGCAAGGACACTCAGCTTGATAAGAAAATGCAAACAGCAGGAAAACCTCACCCAGCACAGCGATGTTGGATCCGGGAAGTTGGGCCAGTTAATTCCTGCACATTAATTATTGCACATTCTCCAGCTGAAATTCAGTCATTACAGCTGTTGTTTAGAATTCTAACAAATACACAGACCTGGTTTCCTGAGCTTTGACTCATTCTGTTGATTTTCATCTGCACATGAAAGCAAAAAGCCTTGGAGGTTTGTAGGGACGATTTTGCCATTAAAAAATGGCAAATGTGGGTTTGGAATAAAGTTTGGGGCTTTTGTTACACACATTTAACTTCCACATTGCTGTGACCCTGCAACAAAATGAATCAGTTCTCAAACTTCAGTGGCTTTTTTTGGTCTCTTCAGAGGATAAAGGTATGAAATTAGGATGTCCCTTGTCCATGTTGGTGCTTCAGCTCTTGCCAGTGAACCAGCCAAGGCTTTACACTTCAATGTCCTCATCTGGGAAGGTTTTTTTTGACTTTGGATTCACTTGAGTAAATCTTGATTTGCTTGGGTTTATTTTCTGACTTTCTAATGACAAATTATACCATTTTATGTAACAGTACAGTCTGTGGTGGCAGAAGGGTGATGCTGCCAGGAAAATGTTCCTGGTTTAAAAATTGTCTCCAAGCCCCACCTCCTCAATTTTGGAGGGTTTATTTGTGTGGTGTGTTGTCCACAGAGGTTCCTGCAATGTCACTTCCCTGTGGGAATTGTGCTGTCTCTTGGCCCTTTGTAATTCACGGAGCTTTCTTTGCTCTCGGGATGTTTTCAAATAGGAAACATTAAAATAAAAGGAGTAGAATGTGCCAAGAGAGACAAAAGCTGCACGTGCTAAAGAAACCTGATGAAGTTACTTGTGAGAACTCCTAATTTTCTGTTTCCAGCAGTGCATCCATCCTGCTGCTCCTGCCCAGAACTGGATGGGAACGAAGGTCCCAGGTGTGGTGTTGCACATGGGGTGTTGAAAATAGCAACAATACCATTTCAGTAATTTAAATGTTCTATTTATTTGAAGTCAATAACTTGATATTTCCAAGTCTGTTCTGGTTGGGTTGGGTTTTTACTGACTCATTCCTCTCTTGGAAGGAAAAGTGACTGTTTCATACTAAATTGTAAATTAATGTGCTTGTTTAAAATAAACTGCAGATGTTTGGGCAAAGTGGATGTGTCTGGGCTCTTTACCTGTATTTGTAAATTGTTTTGAGCTGAGCTTGATTGCCAGGACAGCACATGAACATTTCCATGATAAACCAGATCCATCACCTTGGGGGGCTGTATGTTTAAGCCCAAACTTCTCAGGATCTGCTAAGGAATCTGAACGAGGGGAGAGAAAATAAAGCAGGGAGAAAGAAATGTTTGAGAGGGTTGGTTTTTATTAATGGTTGTTTTTTTACTAATGGCAGAAGCCCAAGTGAGGAAGGCCATGGGCAGGTCTGGTGCAGGGGGGCACAGGAGGGGGAGCAGGGAGGGATCAGCACCGAGGCTTTTGTGGGGTCCTGGATGTCACCATGGGGCTGGCAGGTGCCACAGCTGGTCCTGAGTGTGACAGCTCCTGTGACACACACAGCGCCTGTCCCCTGTCCCAAGTGTGACACAGCCCCTGTCCCCTGTCCTGAGTGGGACACACACAGCCCCTGTCCTGAGTGGGACACACACAGCCCCTGTGACACACACAGCCCCTGTCCCCTGTCCTGAGTGGGACACACACAGCCCCTGTCCCCTGCCCTGAGTGGGATACACAGCCCCTGTGACACGCACAGCCCCTGTCCCCTGTCCTGAGTGTGACACACAGCCCCTGCCCTCCCTCCTGCCCGGCCACAGCTGCCCCAGCCCTGCCCTGTGCCCGGGGGAGCCGACACCACCACACAGCTTTTGTTTAAAGCGCTTCCTTAGAGGCTCAGACTAAAAATCCACTTAAAAACCGAGCTTAAAAGGAACCTTGTGGGTCATCAGCTGCCCCCAGAAGATGCTCATGGCCCTGGGGAGGGCCAGGTGCTGGTGGCACCCGGTGTCACTGCAGCACGGCACCGGTCACCCGGGCAGGACCTGAACCCCAACTCCCGCCTGGCATTTCTGGTACTTTACCTGGGGACCCCAATCCTGGTCCCCAGAGTGTCTCCCTGCGTTTCCCAGCCACACGGGGCTGAGCTGTCCTGCGGACCGGAGCTGTCCCCGGCCAGATGAACCATCCCAGGAGCCGGCCCTGACCCTGCCCTCGGCCCCGCAGGACCCGGAGCGGGGGAGGGTGCTCCGGCACCCCGGGGTCGGGGGCTCGCTGGGCGCTCCACGGCCGCCCCCAGGAGCGGGCGAAAGTCCCGGTGCTGCCGTCGGCAGGAGCATATGCGAGTTTGGAGGCTCCCGCCCCTAAGCTGCTTTTATTAATTTGTAATCCCCTGCGAGCAGGAGGTAAAGGGATTCGGGGGATTAACGGGCTCACAGTAACAACCACAATTATCAGCTCCGGCTGCCTGCGGCAAGCGGTGCACACACGCACGGGGCTCTTCCCAGACAAACACGGCCCCCGCACCCCTGTGACCGCACACGCGGGACCGCGAGGTGCCCTGGAACAAACAGAACACGAGCACAGGCTCCGGGCACCCCACAGCTGCGAGCACAGGCAGACACCGCCCGGCCCCACCTGCGCTCCCGGGGCCGCCGCACTCACAAAAACCCCGCACAGCCGCACCCGCAACCCCGCGCGTTCTTCACCCGCACTGTCCTTCTGTGTGGGCCCCGTCTTCAATTAGCGCAATTGACCTGCAGCCGCCGCTGGCCGCGGCTCGAACACCCTCTACCTCTCCGCGTTCGTTAATTAATTAATTAGCGGAGGGGAATGAGACCCCCCCGCTGCCCACGGGCGGCGTCGGGGGAGCCCCGCACCGCGGGGGCAAACGAAAGCTGGGCTCGGGGGCGGCCGGCGAGCAGCCGGGCTCGGGCGGAGGCTCCCCCGACGGCTGCTCCCCCGACCCTCTTCGTGCGGCCGCCGGGGGTTTCGCGGGGGCCCCGGGGCCGCTTTGCGCCCGAGGGCGGCGGCTGCAGCCCTAACCCACGCGTGTGCCCGAGGGGCCGGCGCTCCCCCCGACGCTTTTGTGATGCTAAAGAGCCCGGCGGTGAACCGCGGCCCAGCTGCGGCCCGGTGCCGCCCCCGGCCCGCCCCCCGCGCCCCCCCGCTCCGCCCAGCCCCGCTCCGCTCCCTGCGCGCCCCTCCGCGCCGCTCCGCCACTCCTCCGCAGCCACCCGCGCACTTCGGACGGCGCCCACGGAGGCCGCGATGCTGCTGGAGCGGGTCCGCGCCGGTTCGGAGAAGGCAGCGGAGCTCTGCCCCTTCCCGCGGAGCCCAGGTGAGGGGGAGATCTCCGCGTCCCCCCGCGGAGGCACCGGCGGCTGCTCCGGGAGCCCCGGGCACGGCCGTGCTCCGTCTGTGCCGGTTCCGCGTCCCCGGGGGCACCGTCGGGGCCGCGGTCGGGGCTGGCTGCGGGGAAGGGCGGCCCGACGGCATCGGGGGATCTGTCCCGCTCCATCCCTCCCGCCCCGCGCTCTCTGTCGCTGTCTCCTGCCTCGTCCCCGATGTCAGAGCCCCCCTCGCACCCCCGCCTCCAGGCGCCTGTTCGGGACCCGTCGGGTCTGGACTGGGGTTCCCGGTCAATCCCGGGGGAAAACGGAGCCTGCCCCGCTCTCACGGGAGCTCTGGCTGGCCCGGAGGAGCGGCGGCTCCTGCCCCGGGGTCCCACCGCTCCCCGCTCAACGAGAACGGGGATTAAACGGGGTCTTCCCATTGTCCGACGGTTCCCTCCGACTGCGGGCACCACCCGCGCCCCCCTCCCCGGCTCCCACGCCTCTTTTCCCCCACTTTAGAAAAACTCCGTTAATTCTTCTCTTGAACGTTCTTTCGTCCCGTTGAACGAACGGAGCCAGCCCTGTCGGGGCGGGGAGCACGGGGCTGCGCTCCGCCGGTGTGACCGGGGCTCCGGGGCTCAACGGGGGAGGCTGAGCCGGGTTCGGAGCAGCGGGTACGGTCCCGGAGCGGGGCCATCCCAGTTCTCGCCAACATCGAAAGAGGTCGATGCAGCTTAAAAATAAAATCAACGACGAGCCGGGGCGGGGGCCCCGCCGATGTGCGGGGACAGCGGTGTCACCGTGAGCGGGACCGACCGCGCGGTCCCGCAGCCGCCGCGAACGGGCCGGTGCCCCCTGTCCTAGCCCGGTTCGCCTTTCCGGGGCGGTCCCCGTGGGCTCTCCCCGGTGCGCTCATCGCGGCCGCGGCAGCTGAGCCTCTGACCCGGCAACCGGGAGCTGCTTGTGCTCCCCAGGGGCGGAGGCGACACCGCCGAAATCGAGCCCCCGGTAGAACGAAGGACACGCAAACACCGTTTTTTCCACGCAGGACGCGACTCTCGTTTACGGCCCCGCGGTCCTGGGCTCCGTCGGGGCCCGGGGAGGCAGCGGGAAGGGCTCGGCGGGGCTTACCGTGGCCGAGGGCCGGTCCCGGGGGGGTTCGCGCCGCCGGGGCCGCGAACCGTGAGGTGCTTTTCCGGGGCCCGGGGGTAAATCCCGGGGTTTGCGGCTCACAACGAGCTCGGGGCAGCGACCGGCGCTGCCTCCCCCGGCGCGACCCCCGCCCGCCGCCGGTCCCGTCGGGGTTCGTTTCTGGGCGCCCCGGAGCCGCGTCCCTCCCGCCGAGCGCAGCCGGGAAGGGGCGGCGGGAGGGGATGTGCCGCCGGCCCCGGGGGCGGGGGGGGATTAAATACAGCGCGCCGCGATGCCCTGCCCGGCGCTTCAGACCGGCACCGGCGGCGAGGCCCGGCGTCTAAAAATAACCCGCTTTAGCGAATTAAATCCCCGGCGGCGCGGGGGTGGCAGCGGTCGGAGCGGGGAACAGCAGCCGCCGTGATTTGGGGGGGGTCCGGCGGGCGCGGGCCTGGGGCCGGTGGCGGAAGATGCGCCAGAGCCCGCGGCCCTCCTGAGGGAGCGGAGCCGCCGCGGCCCGCGGATCGCCATGCAGCGTAAGAGCAGCGGTCCGGGCTATGCCGGAGCCTGCGGGGCTGTGCCGGTCCCTGCGGGGCTGTGCCGGTCCCTGCGGGGCTGTGCCGGTCCGTGCGGGGCTGTGCCGGTCCCTGCGGGGCTGTGCCGGTCCCTGCGGGGCTGTGCCGGTCCCTGCGGGGCTGTGCCGGTCCGTGCGGGGCTGTGCCGGTCCCTGCGGGGCTGTGCCGGTCCCTGCGGGGCTGTGCCGTGGTACCGTGCCCGCTGCCGGAGCTCCGTCCTGGCCGGGCCGCTGCCTGTAGCGGTGCCGCTCTTGGGGTTGTTTGTTTGGACGCGGTGAATTGTTAAGGATAACGATTATCACCTCCACCTCTTACCCCTGTGCACGGCGATCCAGCTCCGTGTCTCTACATATAATTATCTTCACAGAGAAATACTCTCATGTCCGTATCCATCTGTTTCTGTACAGCCGTGTCATACATCTCTCCGCCTCTATTTGTACCGACATATCTGTATTTATGTACCTCATATCCATATTTTCACCTGCTTATCTCTATCTATACCTATATACTGAAATTTATATATTTATGTCTATATATCTGTACATTTCGTTCTCTATCTGCTGTATCTGTTTGTTTTTATATCTCTATTTCTCCCTGATTGTATCCTTATCTCTTTCTGTATAATCTCTGTCGCTATCTAGAGAAGGGACAAGACAGCCGCGTTTTTATTTTCAGGGCAATTATCGTAATTTTTGGTAGTTTCTTTTCCCACCCCGTTCGGGCTACCCCACCGTTGTTCACAGGTGAATTTTGGAAGTTTAGGAAAAGGAAAAAGAGCCTGGAATAATTACAGCTTTGCCGGCGGCTCGTTCGGGGGATTAATTCCGTTTCCACCACTTCCCTCCTTGTTTATCCCGGTTGTCCCGGGCACTTCTCCGGGAGTGTTCTCTGCCCGGGGGCTCGCTGCTCTCCGCGACGCCGCGACAACGAATTTGAACGAATAATGATTTTTTCCGTGCTGTTTCTCGGGCCATCCCCGGTTCCGCCGTCTGTCGGCAGCAGCCCCGGGGCGGCGGGCCGGGCCGGGCCGGTCGGGGAGGCGGAGGGGCCATCGGGGCTGACGGGAGCTGCCTCCCCGCAGAGATCCCGCTGTGCGCCGGCTGCAACCAGCACATCGTGGACAGGTTCATCCTCAAAGTCCTGGACCGGCACTGGCACAGCAAGTGCCTGAAATGCTCCGACTGCCAGACGCAGCTGGCCGAGAAGTGCTTCAGCCGCGGGGAAGGCGTCTACTGCAAGGAAGACTTCTTCAAGTGCGTGGGGACACGGGAGGGGACGGGGGGCGGCCGGGGACGGGTGCGTGTCCCAGCACGGGCGCGTTTGGGGTTCAGCACCGGGACAGCGGCACCGGGCGAGCACCGCGGACAGCGCCGGCTCCGGCCGGGACCGTGCCCGGCCTCCCGCAGCTCAGGGGCCGCCGCTTGTCCCCCCCTGCTCAGGCGCTTCGGGACGAAGTGTGCCGCCTGCCAGCAGGGCATCCCCCCGACCCAGGTGGTGCGCCGGGCCCAGGACTTCGTTTACCACCTGCACTGCTTCGCCTGCATCGTCTGCAAGCGGCAGCTGGCCACCGGCGACGAGTTCTACCTCATGGAGGACAGCAGGCTGGTCTGCAAGGCGGACTACGAGACGGCCAAGCAGAGAGGTAGCCCTGCCCTGTCCCTTCCAGCCCCGAGGGCAGCAGGGAGGCGGCCCGGGGCGCTCCTGCCCTCCGGGACAGGCTCACACGGCGGGCGGGAGGGTGCCGGGAGAGCCCGGGGAGGGTCGGGGGTCCCGCGTCACCGGGGCCGCTCCGTGGTAACTTCACCCCTAACTCGCCCCGTGTCGGCAGAGGCTGAGTCTACGGCCAAGAGGCCCCGCACCACCATCACGGCCAAGCAGCTGGAGACCCTCAAAAACGCTTATAACAACTCGCCCAAACCGGCGCGGCACGTCCGGGAGCAGCTCTCGTCGGAGACGGGGCTGGACATGCGGGTGGTGCAGGTGAGAGCGGGGCCGGGGGGCAGCACCGGGCCGGGGGGCGGGCACGGAGCGGCCCCGCAGCTCGGAGCTCCCCGGCGTGCCCTGCTCGCAGGTCTGGTTCCAGAACCGCAGGGCCAAGGAGAAAAGGCTGAAGAAGGACGCGGGGAGGCAGCGGTGGGGACAGTACTTCAGGAACATGAAGCGATCCCGGGGGACATCCAAGTCCGACAAGGACAGCATCCAGGAGGAGGGGCCCGACAGCGACGCCGAGGTTTCCTTCACAGGTCGGTGGCCGCAGCCCCAGCCGGGGCTTTGCGAGCTCGGGCTGTGTCCTCCCCGCCGAGCTGCTGCCCTGCCCCGGCCGCTTTCACCCGCTCGGTGCCGCGGTCAGAATTCTCAGAAGGGGAACAGTGGGTGAAAGCAAGCGGCCGAGGCGAGAGAAGGGCAGAGCAGCGGGATTCACCCGGGGGAAGCGGAGCAGGGCAGAGAGGGGCAGCCGGGGCCGAGGGAGGGCGGGGGAAGCTCCGCTCTGCCTCCAGCCCGGCCCAAAAGCTGCGGGAAGAACGGAGAGAACTCCCCGGGCAGGCGCTGCAGAGTCAGAGCCGCTGCTCAGACACGGCCTTTTCAAGGGATTCTTGGAAATACAAAAACCGGGAAGCCCAGAACCGCTGAATGTTTCTATGGGAAAACGAGTGTGATTTTATTTTTTTTTAATATTTTTTTTTTAGTCTTATTTAGGGATGGTTTTATTCGTGCAGTTGCTCACGAGGACTCCTCAGTCCTGTGGGAGCTGTTCCTGTGCTGCAGAAAGGAAATTGTTGCAATGTTAGGCAGCTTCTGCAGCAGTGTCCCCTTTTTGGAGCCGAGATTCCTGGTGACAAACCCAGGACAGAAACAGCAGCTCTGGTCCTGTGCAGCCTCACCCCGCACTCTCCAGACCCACAGGGACAGGGACAGGGCCGGGTGGCATTTGCAGGGACATGTTCTACACAATCCCAACTCCAGCCCAGCGCTCCAGCCCAAATTTTTGAATCATTTTTAGGAATGGGAGAGAAGCTGAAATGCAAACCTCTGTGTATATTTACACAGACTGCGTATTTATAAACACACAGTTTTTCATCTCGGCTCCTCTCCCGTGCTCCTAAAAACTATTTGATTTTCGAGTCTGTTTATACACACTGTGCATCACCTCATTAAATATGAATAGTCTATAAATAATAACTAAAATATGTCGAACAATTATTGAGAGCTCGATGCCACAAACAGGTTTGTATCCCAGGCAACAGAGCAGCTCTCACTGCCCACAAAGCCCCTAACAAATACAAACAATTTTTGCTGGGAAATTAAAAAATATTGCTCATTTTTCAAGAGTGTTTTTAAGCCATACAAATACATTTTGTGTTTGTGATTTCATTACCCTGTTCCCTAGCAGACAAATATCTTAATTTAATATCTCTTTTCCTGAGCAATGGGGAATTTATCTTGCATTGGTTCAGTAGCTCCCAAAAGTGATACAAAAATTCAAGATAAACCTCAAAACCAAATAGAAACAAAAGGTGGAAAGACATTGAATTCACTTCCCCTTTAAAGAATTATTTTTAAATCACAGTCTTATATTTTAGTATGTACTTTTCATGCATATTTTTAAAATCCAAGATGTGGTGGATGAAATATATTAGATAAAATAACAATCCCATGGCTGCCTATGAAGATGTCTCAGCAAGGATGGGAATAATAAGGAATTACAAGTGGAAGAGCGTGGCTGCTCAGCTCCCATCCTTTTAATCTATTTATACCAGACAGAGCTTGCAGGAGCTCCAGGGTGACCGGTGCTCTTCCAGTAAAACCAGTCCACTCCAGCACTGACCACTGCTCCGCCAGTAAAACCAGTCCTTTTCCCTTTCAGATGAGCCCTCCATGTCCGAAATGAGCCATTCCAATGGGATTTACAGCAATCTCAACGAGGCGTCCCCGGCGCTGGGGAGGCAGGCTGGGCCCAACGGGAGCTTTGGGCTGGATCCCAGCGGGATCGCGGCTCAGGACCAGTACCACGACCTGCGCTCCACCAGCCCCTACGGCATCCCGCAGTCGCCAGCGGCCCTGCAAGCGCTGCCAGGCCACCAGCCCTTGATCTCCAGCTTGGTTTACCCAGACAACGGCTTGGCCATGGTGGGACAGAGCGGACAAGGGGTGCCCCAGACCATGAGGGTCCTGGCCGGGAATGGACCGAGCTCCGACCTCTCCACCGGCAGCAGCGGGGGGTACCCGGATTTCCCGGCCAGCCCGGCCTCCTGGCTGGATGAGGTCGACCACGCTCAGTTTTGATACAGGGGCCACCCCCAGGCAGCGGGAAGGGAAAGGACTCGGTGCTGTTAAATGTCACCTGCTCTTGCAAAGGACAGAGGGACGAGCCGTGAGTGCCGAGCGGGGCAGGAATGTGACGACACGGAGGGAGCAGAGGGGATTTCGGAGATGAGCCTGGCAGAGGATGGTGGACAAAGGCCCTGGCACTGCAACCATTGGCACCCGGAGCGTCCAAACCAAACTGATTCTCGTGTCTTTACCAAACACCAAGACCTGTGCTTTACAGATTTGATATGAGGTATTTTGCGTTTTGTTGTCAGTGCATTCTCCAAGGCAAGGACTTGCTCCATCACCCATCCACACCGAAACATTTTTAAGGGAAAATAAAATCCTCATCCACGGTGAAAGGTGTGACAATGTCTATATTTCTATAGGAGAAATGTTCATAGTGAATCACTTCAGAAATCCATGGTAGGAAACTTCTCTGTTCTTCCAACAGATTTTTTAAAAGCGCACCAATGCGGTATGTTTCGTTTTACTTTGAATTTACATTAACTTTTCTAAAATGAAATGCTCTTTAATATGCCAATCATTTACCAACAGCCCTTTTCCTTTGTAAAATGAAAATCATATGTTAATTCTGCTTCTCCCCTTTTTAATTTGTAGATTGCTAGGCTGACTCTTCCGTATAAGCATTAAACCGTGAATAGATGTATTTATTACCAAGTAATTCCACGTTTATCACGAGGTCAAGAGGTGAATTTTCTTGACCCAGGGACACCGGTGGTGGATCTTGGTTGTGGATCTCACGCTTTTCCTTCAAATTTCTTTGCATCAGTTTTACTGCAAAGTGTCTCAAAAATCACCCTGATGTCTTGTTGCCAAAAACCTTCTCGGGGGGTCGGGCTGGTTTAAGATGAGCCCTTCCCCAGGCACTGCTGGAGTGAGCACCCCCTTCCCCTGGGGACATGTTCTGTTCCAGGAATTTGTGTATTTCCACGGATATCGTGCAAGCTGATTGTGAGGAAAGGCAAGACAATATGTATATTGTTATCTGTAAAAATTATGGAATTAACTGTAGATTATGTGGATGTCCAGTGTCTTTTATTTATATTCTCGCTTTCTCTCTGATGATCAAATACTTCAAGATTACAAATAAATTTGTCAGCTAAACTTTAAATAGTCTTTTTCTAAATTCACATCATTCACAGTAAATAAAAAACCTGAAACTAAAGCTCTTAAAACTTAAGGCCTGGTTCCACAAAGTGTTGAAATATTCCCTTTCAATAGAGGAGCAAACCCACTGATGTGGAAATGCTTTGGAACAAAAATAGAATGAAGACATGGGAGGCTGGCAGTCCTTGGGACATCTGAACAGGATTGCTCTGGCTTTGATCATATTTTTGATGGACATTGTTATTTTCCAGCAATTGTGGCAAAGGTGGTGGCTGACACAGCAACAGGAAATAGTCTGATGATGTGTATCTACAGAAAGTTGTGAATGTGAAACACAGATATGGAAATATTTCAAAGAGAAATCAGGAAGAAAGGGAAAAAATTCCTAAGGGAATCAGTTTGACCAAACACGTGTATATATATATATATATATATATATATATATTTGCACACAAATACAGATCTCTCCTGACCTTTTTAACACACGTGGGCTCTGAGCTTCTCACTCCCCTGGGATGTCAGGGGATATTTGCACCGAGCTGTTCCAGGAGAGCAGCAGCACAGCCCGGGGGATGCCCCGGTAGCTGCGGGTGGAGCGGTGCCCTGCGGGCTGGCAGCGCCTGGCACAGCCCCCGTGCCCCGGGGGGATTCACCGGCCCGGGGACACCTGCAACATCCCGGCTTTTATTCCTCGCCTTTTCTAAAGGACCCGTGGCTGCTGCTGGGCAGTTTGAGGGCTGTGCTGCCCATCTCCCCCTCCTTTCCTTGCTGGCACCCCAGGTTCTGCTCTCAGGGAGCACAAGGAGCCTGCCCAAAGCAGAGCAGGTCCGTGGGCGCTGCTTTAGGGAAGAATTGCTCACCCAACAGAGAAACTCCCTCTTTTCTCTCCAGGAGATCCACTCTGAGAGCCATGGCTGGGATGGGAGAAACCCCAGGCAAAAATTTGCCTCCTTCAGTTCTGAGCTCCTGAGTCCAGAGCTGGGCTCGGCAGCGTCTCCTTCCTTCTCCAGAAGTGAATAATAAAGAGACAACTGTTGCTGCCAGCCTGTACTTACACCACAAGGACATTCCTTACAGAAATTTATGGAGTAGATAGAAAACTGTGGGATTTAAAACAAGCAGATTGCACAACTTCACCAAAAGAAAAAAGAAGAGTTTGTATTTTCAAGAATTCTGTGTCTAGAAACACCCTCACTAAATCTGGGCAGGTGTTTTGCATCAAAATATTTTGGCAGTTCAAGGATTCATAATATTTTCGTATAGAAGACTAAAAAATACTTTGAAATATTCTTCATTCCTAAAACTTAAGAAATAACAACAGAAAGACAGCAATGTAGCTGGTTTTAGGATAATTCTGTTGTTATAAAACCAGTCTAATAACTGTAGAAATTGAACCTGTGCTTTATAGATATTTTTCTCATCGTTTCCCTCCCAGTAAATAACGGGCACTGTTGTTCCTCTCCCCCTGGGAATTCCCAGGGGATGGCTGAATTTAAGAAAGGAAGAAATGCAAATCTCCCCCTTTGCCTTTGTGCTTTGCTCAGAAAGGCAGAACGGGGCTGGAAGCTGCCGGTGCTTGTGCTGCTCTGAACAGGGAGAAGAGCTCCCCAAGTGTCCTGAGCTCAAATTCAGGGATTGCATTTCAGCCTCCCCTTTCAGGGCCGAGGCTCAAGGATTCCATTAATATAAATGCTTTCTTCCCATTAAAAAGAAAACCAATTTGAAAGAGGCAAATAAAACTTGCACTGTCCAACTGTCTGACAGCTTGTAAAACCCAGGCAGAGTTAGGAAGAGGAGGTTTGCACTGCTCAATTTGCAGGTGGCTTTACAACCTCCACTGATTTCCATCAGTACATGGGTGGCAGGGAATTTTTTGTCTCCTCAATGAGGAAAATTTACTGTATTAATCTTTTGTTTTTCTTTTTCCAAACAGCATATTTGCCTAAACTTGTGCTTCCTACAGAAATGTTTAGATTTTCTGTCAAGTAGTAGAAGCAGCTTATTTTTTTCTTATTTGGATTTGCCATGTGAAGCCAATGAAACCAAATCCCTCATGCCCAGGGGGCAGACACCTCCTCTCCTATCCAGTCTCATCCAGGGGAGGAGGTGACAAAAGGGGGCCAAGAGCTTGGGCACCTCAGTGCCCATTCTGGGGGTGTGGGCCAGGTGAAACCCCTCATCCTCAGGGAGCAGGGAAGGTGGACACAGCCAGCTCGTCCTCAGGTCCCCTCTGGTGGCTTCTCCCAGATGTATCAGAGCATCTGAACAAAGGTGTTCCCACTGCCCTCACATCCCACCTTGCCTCCCCTGCCCGAGTCACGATTCTGAGGAACAAGGCAGGAAAACCTCTGGATCCTCCTCCTGCAGCACAGGCAGAGGTGCTGGGTGGGATGAGGGAGAGCCCCAGAGATTTGGTCTCAGTAAATATTCCAGAAAAAATGCTGCCTGTTAACAGGGAACTTCTCCCACCAGCTGCCCACAGGCAAAAGCATATTCCACACGTATTTAGCTCCCTGGTTCTCCTTCCACTGAGGAGTGAAGAGTGTCCCTGTCTGTCCAGGGAGGGCAGAGCCCAGATCTGGCTGGACAGAAGTCCTGCATCCCTCTCCCACCCAGGCCCTGGCCTCTTCCAGCTCCTCTGCAGAGCCTGGAAAAAGGCTCCGAGTCAGCTGGAGGCGAGTAAATCATTCCTGACAGCTACATCTCTACAGGGCAGTTAGAATTAATGTAACAATTTGGCGTTTAATGAAGCAACAACATGCTGGGCTGCGGAGAATAGCTGGGACCTGCTGCAGTCATCTCATAATCCCTGAGGGACCCAAACGGCAGCGGCTCCATCAGATGCCGACTTGTCAGGCTGAGCAAACGCCGGGTGGGGACAGCGAGGGACAGCGGAGTGGCCGGGAGCTGGCAGCTCCTCCAGCTGGGAGACAGCCAGCGTCCGGCAGCTGAGCACGGCTCCAGGGAGCGAGCCCAGCCTGGAGCACAAATCCCCCGTGCCCGAGGGATGGGCACAGCTCTGGACAGCGGGAGCATCCCCGGGGATCACCGGGCATTGCTCTGCCCGGAGCTCGGGGAGTGCTCGGCCTGAGCGAGTCACGGAGATGCTGAAAAATGCTGTTTGTGTAAAAAAATATTTTGTGAAGCTTGTTCAGGAAGAGTAGAGAACTAAATCGGGACTGGAGGGGGGAACTGGCAGAATATCTTTCCTAAATAAAAACCAGCTCGATCAGGTGCTCTGCCCCCCAAAGTCAGATTTCTGCACAAGTTGCAGGTATTCAGCCTTTTGCAGGATAAAGCCTCTTAAAAACCCTCCCTGCACGGAGGAGGGGGAGAGAGGAATGAATGCAAATGACTTTGAAGACAATCTCCCATTTCCCATGTATACACACACGCTCTCAAAGCATCGCAGGCTGCAGCAGCTTGGATGCTTTAAAATAAATCATGCAGCACTTTTTTTTTTTTTTTTTTTATTTTTTTTGCTTGCTTGCTTTTAAATGAAAGCACAGCACAAAACAACATCCCCTCAGTTCCCAACCCAGCCGTGCTGGAGCTCCTCTCTGGGGCTGGCTGGTGTGTGTGTGGCCATAAACCTCCCCACGTTTCGTTGTGAAGCCTCACGGTCACCGGCTTTAAGGGCTTGACAGGTTTATAAAGTGCTGAGTGTCCCCCAGGGACGGCGGCACTGTTTGCAGGGAAGATGAAGCGTGCCATATCCAGCTGGTCTAACAAGGCAGCGGGAAATCTAAATTAATTCAGGAATCACTTCTGTTTTGCCGAGGGAGGATGCTGTTCTCAGTCTATGGGAGCAGCCCATTGGAATACTCGTTAACAGCAGGGATGGGGTGCAA